GAATGATTCTACTCCTCTCAGAGTTTGCCCATATTTGACGAGATGATGTATATCGTTATTCAATTATGAATGTGTGTCTGCCGAGCAAATAGTCGTAATAATGAATGTATTTTATTATAAAAGAAGGAAGTTCTTAGAAATAACACAACTCTACAAATATTGAGATTAGTTATATACTGTTCAGAGTTAGAAAAGCAACCAATGTTTGTTTTGGTAATCAAGCATAATGCATAAAGGTTTAAAGTAAAGTACGAAGCTTGTGGGTCTATCTAATCATTTCATTAAAAGCCAATTTTAATACATTTATCAACACAGGCACGAGCATATTTACAGTTTACACAAGATATTTATTATTAGAGCTCACAGATTACTTTTTAAAAAGTGTATAGTTGTAAGCCGTTTTGCTTTCAAATTCCTTTATCTCGCGTATTTATAAATACATTACTGAACTTTACATTCATATCCGTCACTCGGGGAGGAGAACTTTTGAGATTGTTTCCCGTGTTTGTGGACAGGAGCGCATGATGCTCTCATCTGCAGAACCATCCCACAGAATTTTAAATGTGAGAAATAATATTAGCGTACGTGGACCTATCTAATGAGACTGGTAATGGATCTGATAGGAAAGGTTCCACAGTACTGTCATTTGAAATAAACATACCATAACTGTTACACGAAAGGACGTACGTTTAGTTTTGTACTTTATTCAGTAGATGGTGTTGCTGTCGTCCCATTGGCCACCTTTGAGAGGGTTTTTTTTTTTTACAAAAATTATTTAAGCCACAGACAAATCACCGGTCTTTGTAACATCCTCAGTATGATTCGTTACTTGTTCATAATTTCTCTACTTACACACCACAGACAGTCTGCATTCGAATATTATTTGGCTGAAATCACCAAAGTGATACAGTTACGGAACGTGAACAAGGGTTTCCACTCCAATGTTGAATGAGCCAGGAGAATACATAGGACATAATTGCTTAGAAAACATTGTCTTCGAAAGTGTTTATTTCACTACTGACTTGCCCTTGTGAACGCGATAGCGAACTTTAGCATTAAACATCAGAAATGTCTTTAGTAGTTAGGCGACTGTTAGCTTCTGAAGAGGTACTCGCTCCTTGGATTTTGTTATTTCTTGTCTATGTGAGAGAATGCTACCTTCTCCAAGACGTACTAACATATTAATTTCATGAAGTTAGTTACTGCTAGCATTATATAGCTCCTCTCTTCCTTGACCTCGGCACTAGATGGGGGTGAGTGGTCAGCATCACGCCCCGGCCGGCTTTACCCCCGGGAAAGGACCCCGGTACCCATTGTAGAGGAGGCTGGGTGGGCCCCAGGACGCAGAGGCTAGAGGAAAAATCCTCTGCCCCCGTCGGGGATCTAACCCCGGCTAGCATTACGTAATTAGACAAATTATCTTTGTCTGAATTTATTTTAGCAGAACTTTGATGATTCACTTTTGGTTACCACAAAGATTTTCTTGTAAGAGAACTGTTCTCTGTCGGTTCAGCTTGTATCATGCATGTTTACTACGGAGTTTATTTTATTTATAACTAGTGTCAAAAGCCAACCAAAACTCAGAAGGAAATGACATCTTTCTTATCTGCATCTATCGCTCTCTTTTAATTTTGCTTTTTTCCTTTCAAGCCCTTATCTATCTACCACGTCCTTCCTTGTTCCTTTCCCACAACTTTCATTTGCTCTCCCTATCGTCATTTCTCTCCAAACGTTCTCTTTCATTATTTATTTTCCTCCAAAACATGACGCTACAGGTAACAATAAAAACTGTCCAAATTATTACGTCACGTTATATAAACATTTTTCGCGAGGTCTATTTAAACGGAATGCAAGCAAGCATTAAACCATGTTCTTTATAGTTAGTGTAATTAATATTTAGATTAATAAGAGACGTTAAATAGCAGAAGAACATTTTAACACCAGCTCGTTTTACGACATATACTTCCCGTAACTAGTCTGTTTGTGTTTAATTGCGTTAAAATTCAATGGAAGTAAGATAGAGAGTATTATTATTATTAAAATAATTTGAAATTTCATACAGAGGTCTTCCGCGTGAAGTGAGGTCGCTTGACAGAGTCTGTGCACGTGATCAGTTCCACTGCACACAGGTTTAAATGTATGTATTTTGAGTGAGTGAGTAACTTCTACAGCGTATGAAAAATGGCTCCCGGTTTACGCCTTTAATGCAGGGGGGGCTATTAAATGTCCATCTGGCGTGCAGGGAAATGGATCCAGAGGGACTAATTTTGTATATCCGTTTTCCACCCAATTCCACCAAAGCAGACAGGGTGGTTCAGAATTATGTCCTCAATACAATTCCTAGTGAAATAGAATGGAGATAATAAACATGGTTCGTCAATTTCGTTCTGTTTTGTTTTAACAGTCGAATTCCATAGCGTCGAACTTTAATATCAGTTTACGGCGTGTCAGTGACTTAGGCCATTCTTAAGACGAGCTGGCTGAAGGTACTTGAATTTGTTCTCAACATATCAGTATATGCCTTAAAATTATTAAATATTTGTAAACACAGAACACGATAAACATTTTAAATTGGTAATTTTTAAATTATTCTATCTCATGTACTAGCCTACATTTAAAAGACTAATACGGACAGACATTTTCGTATTTTAGGTTTTAAATTAATTTTTATTTTATACAATGAAATTGCATTTCCGATTTAAGAACGTTCCTGCCTATTGATAAATATTTTGCAAGCTCATAAACTCACAAGTGATTTGTACAATCCAATTAAGTTTGTAATAAATAGGATATTAGTTAGAAATTTTAAGCGCAAAGAAAAAGTATAATATTAAAATAGGTGTTACTGAGTTAGGGTTTTGAATGCGTGAACTGGGTTTCTGTGGTTCGGGATGCAGACTCGTGTCAGGCCATTTTAAACACGGAAATGAACCTTCGCGTTCCATAAAGGGTGGCTGTCTTCTTGATTACCTGAACTACATGGCGTCCAAAGGACTCTGCTTCAATTTAGTTATAACAGCACGGTTATATTGTTATAGTTCATAGAATAGTTTAGTCGTAGAAGATAATTATTTTAGTATATAAGCGGGAATAATAAGAAACTGTAATTTTAAATTACGTAAATTGCTACATTTCGGCAAACTGAATGTCTCATTTGAGAAAACCAACCAGTTTACAACGAACCTGGGTCGCTGGAAGACGGATCATAATTATCTGAAAAACGATACACTCGTATGTAGATTGTATAGGATTTCAAGAAATGAAACAAGAAATGACAATTCTTTAAGTCAGAAGCCAAGTCTTTAAAGAGAACATCCATGAACATCCTTAGCATACAGACTTCCACATTATTATACTTATTTTGACATTCGAAGGTAAATCAGAACCGGGAAATTTAATTTCGAATGGTTGGCGATACTGGGTTCATAATTTATCTATGCTCTTAGAGTCACCTTAGTGATGGGTTAGCTTGTCATTATGTCAGTGCCCACTCCAGTCATTATTTGAATAAGCCCAGTCAACACAAGTTTCTGGGTTCTGGAAACAGTTTTTTAATAATTTACGAACGAGTAATCCTCACCTGAAGTAATCCTTTAATATCATAATTTCCGTTATTATAGGTATCTGGACGCCCTTGCACAGAGAGATTTCCGGTATGGATTTTGGAGCTTCTAAATTCCGACGGGAATTCAGTCCCTCCTTCCCTCTCACTCTCCGTCCCTCAACTGGGAGTGTTACCTTGCTGTGAAAGCTGGCTTACTAAATGTTGTGGGTTTGAATGCCGTTGGAAGGGTGGAAGTTTTTGTGTGTGGTTTCTATCGGGTGTAATTATCATATCGAACTTATCAGTGTGAAGGTTAGCACCTCTGTTTCATATTCGTGAGGACCTCGGTTCTGTCAGCTAGAAAACAAATAACGTGATCGAACGTTTTAGTGGTTTATTCAGTATCTCCGGGTAAGACACGACATTAAATAATTTACAATTATTTTCTCAGCGGGAGTACTAAAATCATTCCATGTTCCTGTAAATGTTACACGCAACTTGTTCGAATTGGGGATCTTATTAAGAACTGGTCAAAACATTTCCCTGCCTTTTATGAAACAGAAGATTTATTACTGTTGATATAATTGCGTCATAATTATTCGTGTTTTTTTCCGTCTAATCACAATTGTATATAAATAAATAAAATTATACATAAGATATTAAAATATCTTATGTATAATTTTATTTATTTATATACAATTGTGATTAGACGGAAAAAAACACGAATAATTTATTATTGTTCACAATAGCCCGCCACTGGACCCTATCCTGAGCCACATGGATCCAATCCACACATTGACAACCATTCTTCAAGATCCACTTTAACTTTTTTTCTCCTACCTAAGACATGTCTGTCATTTGCTGTCTTCCGGTCAGCTCTCTCATCTCTCACAAACGTGCTACATGCCCCCTTCCATCTAATCATTCTTAATTTCTTAAGTTTAAAGATTTATCAAGGTCTACTGACTATTATTGTCTGAAATAGTGCAAGTCAATTTCTATTTTTAATCCAGAAGCTTCAGTTTTGTTCTATAAACAAAAACTGTAATAGAATCAATGTACGTTCAAGCTTGCCGGAAGTCGTGATTTCCGTATTGTGCTTCAACTTTGACCATTACTATTCTCTGTTTTATATTGTAAGTTTGAAAGACCTACATCATACCAGAAGTTGGCTCTTCTTACCCCCATGAAGTGAAACTATTCAATCTAATCAGCTGGGTCCACTAAAAAAAAAGATACCTCATTGCCCTCAATGGATGTAACTGATTTTGTTGAACAGTTTTACGTGATGACAGAAGAAAAACCAGTTTTAGAAATATTGTGTTTTTTAAAGTTATGTATGAAGGATAATGGCCATTAATATACATGTGCTTGCATATGGATAAGCTACGCAAATATGTAGTATGCTGCTATACGAAACGCTGAGGAAAATGGAAAATATTAAACTAAATGTAAATAACAGGGAAAGACAAGTCTTTATTTTAGGCTGTATCATGTCTCTCTTAAATATATTATATTACCCGTTTAAACGAATAAAAGGAACAATGGGTTTCCTTCTAGTGATATGGGATGTCTCATCCAGTGCAACTAAATGGTCCGACTTTTTCTTCAAACGTCACAACATTCTAGTCAAGTCATCCGCGTGGCAGAGGAAAGCAGTTGCGATATTTCACCCAGCCGTCAAGAGATTCTAACGGAATAAATACAAGTTGAAACTTAAAGTCTCTCATTTTTCTATTTCCTAACTTATAATTTTAACACCGAATATCTCCCTAGGCGTGCATAATGTATTGAACATTTGATATTCTCATAGCGGCAAAGATGTCGATTATGATTGTCTGCGTTACGACGTCGTATATCCTCGTGAGTAGTTAACGTTTCGGTGGAAAATACAGCCTCTATCTTCAGGACGAAGTCGGTAAATTCGGGATGTGAGATATATCTGTAGGGGGAGGTCATCCAATGAGATTTGAGTGAACAACGGATGGCTTATCTCGCCCGTTCTTCGTCACTGTGCCTACCTTAGATGGCGACTCTTATTAGGGCCTACCAAGATTTGTACTTGTCATAGCCTCAAGGTCACCTTTCTCATCCTGCTATTATCAGCACTCACACTGGATACTCTCGCCTATAAAAAAGGATCCCATCCCGATGCTGGCTACCTTTACACTGCAGGCAGAGGAGACATGTTCCTCTGAAACTTTGGTAAACCACCCACACGAATACACGATGCGAGATCTTAGAAAACCATGATCGACGTGACTGACAAATTTCTGCTGTTGATATTGAACACATTCCTTTTACTTATCTGATTTGAGAGACTGAGCTGAAAATTTAGAAGGATTTCATTTTAATGCACATTAGGACGTCGATGCATGATTAATGTCTTAATCATGCATTTCGATTATTCAATTGTAAAAAAAAATATGGTCGTGTGCTTTCCTCTGCATTTTAATCCACATTAATACTTTAAGTCGTTTCTTCGGTTTTAATTATGCGTAAATATAATTTCTGCCTAAGAAAAGAAGCTTTACTAGAAAAGTCAGCTCATCAAAATTCATATTTAAATTACCTTAAATACTTATTATGTACAACAGGAAATTGATGGAGCCCTTCTTCAACGTTATAACTGAGTAACGATTTTAAAATTCACTGAATATTTTCACATAGGCCTAAGAATGTTACAATATAGGTCAGGATTATCAAACGGTTTCATTCTGATCACCTGCGTATTTCTTCAGCAAGTCCTAGGACAATTCAGCGCACTGTGGTGATAATGGAACAGGACCTCGAAGTATGGGAAACAGTTAATCTCTTCCTCATCAATACTTATCAAGGGAAGTTCAGTTTTATAAAATTGTTGAGGCGTGTCCTAATATCACGACACATCACTGAAATCGACACACACACAGTTAAATATCTATTTCCGGATCTAATAAATGAAATGATAACAATCGAATATATTAAATTTAGTTACATATAATATTTCATAGTAAGTTATCGTCACTATTAAAACTAAATGATTTACAAGGAACTGGAATAGTGGCATTGATTCTTACAACGTAAATTCTACGTGTAAAGTTGAAGGTCACGTTTCGTACAGCCGTAATTCAACTATACACGTGGATTTATTTTGGTGTGAATTATAATAATGATGATAATGAGAACAGTAGCTTGGTTCACGTCGTTCAGAAACTTTTCTTCAGTAGGTCTACCTGAATTTGTTATTATGAGAGATTAAGGCATCGATTATATAACAGTTAATTGTGCGCATTTCCACCGAACATCGTGTGGTATCGTACATTCTCCTAAAATAACAGATATTGTGTATGAATTTGTAAACTTGTAAATTTGTAAATAGAAGCTTCCAATTTCTTTATACACTTTACAAGGTGAGAAACAGAAATTATTTAAATTTTCACCTTGAGCCTTGCGATTCATATGTCAAAGTATTTCTAAGGAAGAGATTAAAGATGGTCAAATAGTGATAGTGCATGGAGAACATTCATACAGACAAACGAACAAACGAATAAACAAAAGCATGGTGTCTTGTTCACATGTCAATCTTTTCGTGGTGGATAAAATTCATGAAATGACACTGATGCTGAAGTTAAAAGTATTCAAACCTTTTCAGTTCACTACCCAACCGACCAGTTCAACCATAACAAAAACTTACCGCCAATCGGTTACATATAACACTGATGTCTTCGACATATGCGATGGTTTCCGAATAATTCATCTTATTAATAAAAACAATTATGTTTAATCCTTTGCTCAATGCATTGTTGGTTGGTCGGATATTATAAAAGTTTCACAATCGATCATACGGTCTTCCATCACGTGTTGGTGATAAATGAATGAATGCAGAAAGGGCTGTAGCAGGAATTGAAATTTTTAGTCTAACCCCAAATTTCGGAATGTATAAGTATTATAGACTGCATATATCCGAGCGTAGATTAAGAAAACTGAAAAACAAGTTCGTAAAAATATTCATGAACACGAAGTTCACAGTAAATTTTAAAGTCATTTTTATGTTTGAAAACTTTACATAGAATATTATTTATAAAGAAAAAGCCATAATTTGAAATTAATTTAATTTTTGAACGCGTTCTTAAACAACAATATTGACAGTAAGAATGCCCTCATATGGCCATGTTTGTCCAATAAATCTTAATATGAATGAACTACAACTGCCCCTTCATAAAATATTCTGAATTGTGTTAAGATGTATTAAGATGAGTTATATAATTGTTTTCGGTAAATAAAGTCGCATAGGCCTACTGCATTCTTACGAAAAGAAATATTCTGGTATCTTTCGTCGACAAATAAGCTCTGGATTGCAAGCCGTAACAACATCGCTAAGTAGTCATTTTTGACAATATTCTTCTTGAATTCCTGTCTGCCAAAGAGAAATAAATGCGTCTTATTAGATTATTTCCAAAAATTCATATGCCAGCTCTTGTTTACGACATTATGATGCCATTTAACGTAATTCTTTCAGCCACAAAACACAACAAACTGATATCCAACATTTTGTAACTGGTCTCAACTCTGATGAAAGTCACCACCACTGAACCTTCTGAGAAGTTTGTTTCTGGGTAGCCAGTACGGTGGTAGATCAGACCCGTAGTCAACGGCACCGCCGGACGTACAGAATGCAATGGGAGACGTCGAAGTACCGCCGATGGGCGACGAAGCAGACGCTGCTGTGACGGCGACACCGGAGGATTTATGTTTTAGGATAGATTTAGGATTGTTGCTGTCGTCGGATCCTGATGGCGTTGTCACTGCACTCGAATAAGTTAGGGGGTCCACGAACCGTGATATACTTGGAGTGGGCGTGCGGGCTGTTCTGCCAGGGGGATCCTGTTGGCGAATATTCTCACAGGTCTCTTTCATTTTACACAACTGTTCTTGTAAACTGCGATATTCCTCTAGGAATCTCTCAAGCTGCGCTGCGTGATAATCATATGTGTTCGCTGCTGCAGATGGTACAGTGGAAGCAGAAAGTGGAGATAAAGAGTAGAGATCACCGACTCCAAGAGTGTTCGAACCCATCACATTTAAAAGGGGCGTCGCTGAAACGGTAGTTGTCAAAGTAGCGGGTCTCTTGAGGTCAGTAGATGGGTGAACTACCCCCCTGCTGCTTACAGAACATTCCGTTGATGTCGATGAAACAGCTGGGGAGGCTAAGTTCACTGAGCTGCTCGACCGTTGTTGTCCTATGCTAGAATGTTTCTTACCAATGAGTGCGGCAGACAGAGGATAATATGAAGAGGCATGTAAATCTATAGATGACCTTCGGGGAATAGATCCATTGCTTCCACCACTGCCTTCGCCGCCACTGCTGCTATATCGACTGCCTGGTAATAAAGGCGACTGACTGTCAGAACCGCGGTAATACTTCGAACTTCCTCTCCCAGTGGACCCGCGATCAAGAGCACCACCCCGTCTTCGAGGCAAAGTACAGAAGGAACTATCTGCTATGTCCAATGGACCCCCAATAACACCACCGCTGTTTAAATTATAAGATGAAATCTCTAATAGATCTGGGTAGGTTTTGTCTGAACCGGTCCGAATGTCAACACCACCACCTACGTCACTACCACCACCACCACCACCACCAATGTCACTGTCCAGTGGAACTGAGGTGTACAAACTACCCCCGTTCGTGCCTACCGTCTGCTTCCTCATTATGTGCTGCTGGAGTAGAGTTTGAGTCGTAAGGTCTCCAAGTTCTCGTCGCAAAGCGTTACTTAGGCCCGGCTGCTGTCTTGTGTTAGCGTTGTGCGTGTCTGGCTGTCGTGAGAAATCCTCCCTCATCTCGTCGGAACCAGCAAGTCTGTCGTCTCTGAAATAGAAAGCAAACAGTGAGCATATCTCACACACTGATCGTTTATATATGTATGTAGGTGTTGGTTTTAACCCTTGAGTAAGAAACTAAACCAACCCCCCCGAATGGGGGGTTAAAACACTTGACCAACCTTCGGGGGGGGGGGTCAAGGAAGTTTCTGGAAAAAATGATTGCCTTAATTCGTACATCCCGATGTGCGAATATCACAATAAAGCATAAGTGCCAGCCATTGAACCACGAATGTGTGGTTATGTTATGAAAGCATAATCAGTTATCAAGGCGTATAATATTACCAATTTAGTCAGTTTTTTAGGACATCAGATACAGAGGCCACGCTATAGATTAATATCCTGTAAAAAAATACTTTAACAAAACTTGGGTATTTTTCGAGTTTTTTTTTTCCAGGTCAAATTTTAAGTACTCTTGCAGTGGCGTTAGTGTTACTCCCATGTTAGCAATTCGTAAACCTGCCAAGTTTGTATTACTTACGATAAGGAATGAAGAATTACAAACCGTGTCATACAGAATTTAATGAAAATCCGTTTATTATTTCTGAGTTATTACCGGCACATACACTCAAGAAAGGAAGGACACACAGACATTAATACTCCCTAAATTCCACGTGTCCTGAGTTCACAGGTACAGACGACGCAAGTACAGCTCGCCGAGACCAGCAACGGCCACCGTACAACAGCTAAGTGCCAGTTTTACTCCTGTGAATAACAGCATCTAGTGCAGTCATCTTGTCAATTACCTTCTACTTTAATTATGAAATTTGCTCGAACCATTTGACTATATGTATTAATTTCCCTGATGCCACTGATGATGACCTCTTGAGGTCGAAACGCGTATGGCAATAGTGTCCATTATAGTGTTAATAGTTGTTGGTTTGTTCACTCTATATTCTAATGTCTTATAGTCTGTGGCTACTAAAATTAAAATATCGGTAGCAAATTCCTTGATCCCAATCTTACCTGTTGTCCGAGTAGCTACCATCTCCGCCCCTCGGGATGTGAAGATCGGTCGTGTCGGACGGCGCACTGCTACGCACCTCACTGTGGCTACTCGGAGTATCATCGGACGACCGCGGGCCGCTCCAAGACATCTTGCCGTCCCGCGTGCTGGAGACCACTGTTGTGGGAGTCGGCGTCTCTGCTTCATCCTCGTATCCTCCTTCATCGTCGTCGTCATCTTCGCCGAGGTCGGTGTCAACACTCGGCACTCCCCTATATTCGCCGTGCCTAGTGTGTTGTTTCATCATCGGTCCAACTGTGACCACCTCGGCGTTTTGTTCCGGAGTCAACACATTGTTTCCACCTTTCGGCAAAATTCGTCTTCCAGCACCGCTTCCTGCGTGATTCAGCATCGATGGTTCTTTGTGGTTCATCTCCATCTTTTCGTAACTGTCGTCTCTGCGACGGCCACCTCGAGGCATTGTACTCTGGGCCTGGCCTTGCCACCTTCCATTACCACCGCTTTGCTGTCTTCGACGTACACTGCACACGCATAACACTAGAAGACAAGACGCAAGCACGAACAAAGCCGCCACAATTACGCTCGCGACCAACACACGACCAGATAGTCCTGTTTCCGGTGGCCGTCGCAACACTGCTAAAGCCACGCTGGCCTCCACTTTACCTGCCTTATTCTCAGCTGAGCACACATACACTCCAACATCCTGCATATCAGCTGTCAAGATTGTGAGGTTACTAGTGTAATCATCCACATGAATCATGTACATTTTCCTGCTGTTACTGTAGGGGACTCCAGAGAGGTTGGCAATAACTTTGTTCCTCCACAACCACTTGACACTAGGTTCTGGTATCCCACCTATATTGCAAGTCATTGTAATATTTCGACCTTCTACTCCCGTTGTCAGCGCTTCCGGGGCTGTTATTTTTGGTACACATGCAAATTCATCCAGGTCTAGTCTGTCCCAAGACTTTTCTCTGAGTCTTGGCGGATAAAGACATATTGGAGGCACGTCATATGGTACGTTTTGTCTAAGCATCCACTCTCGCAAAGGACGAAGTTGACACGTGCAGTTCCATGGATTTTCGGCGAGTTCTAAACCGTGCAAGTTTTGCATGGCCGTTAGTGTGGAAGATTTAACATTCACAACATTATTCTTATCAAGCTTCAGCCATTCTAAAGTCTTCTCTAAGCCTGAGAAAGCCCGAGTTTCAAGCGTTCCCAGGAGGCACTCGGAAAGTTCCAAGCGTACCAATGTCTGTACGCGTATGAAGGCGTTGTTCAGGATCCTCTGGATTGGATTTCCGCTCAGTTTCAGTTCCCTAAGCTCTGGTATCGAGTCAAAGATGTGAGAAGGAACTGTAGTAATCGAATTGTAACTGAGATCCAGTTCAACTAGATTAATTAGTTTACGAAATGCAAATCGATCAAGAGTTTTAATACGACATTTCGATAAGTAAATTTTTTGAAGGTTTAATAACTTTGCTTCAACAAAGGCATCTTTCTCTAGATTTCCTAATTTGTTTCCTGTTAGATTCAACACCTGCGTCCCGGCATCTAATCCCTTCGGGATTTCTGTCAGTTTGGCATTGACACAAGTTGCAGATTCTTTGCCACTTTTCCATTTGCAGTCGCAAAGTCCGGAACACGGGTCATCGGCAAGGAGTCCACTTATAAGACAACAGAGCGTGAGGATAAAAACTGTCAGTGGCGATGCCAAATATAAGGGTAGGGCTGGATTAATGGCTGGCAGCTTCCAGCGCCAAGGTTTGCTACCCTCTCGGTGGTCTTCCTGACTCGACGGACCCGGCGGCCAGTAGTCCATCGCGTCAGTGCCCTTCTTCGGTCCCTAGGCTCAGGGTAGTGACTCTTTCCGGTCAGCAGTCTTCCGGGTCTTCTTCCGAGTCCATGGTGACAAAATAAGCCTGGGTGTGCAAACTGTGGCTCGCAACGGCGGCTTTCTCGGACCGTTACGCTGACAACCAGAACACCAGTCTGTAGGCAAAAAAGCACTAGGTCAGCAAACTCAGTGTTTTAAACGTAGAGGAAATAACGAGGGAAATAAGAGAAACTGTAACTTCGCGGGGGAAATTAGGTTACTGGAGACTGAGTGTTGGTTTTGTGCTGAATACGCAGTAGACCAATGTTTCTAAGAATATTAAATGTAATATGTTATTATTCCATCAGCTATTATAAATTAGTATACTCGTCTGTTCCAATTCGGAATTAACTCTGAAACCACGAGATTCCACAGTTTCTGCGGGGTAGATCGATCCACGCACGGTCTCCGCCTATAGTGAGAACGCGATACCGAAAATAACTCTGATATACATGTCCAAAGATGAGATTCGAACCAACAGTTACCGCGTAAAAGGACCGTGTAACGGACACACCACTACTGAAGTTGTTAAATTATAATTTAGAAATCGTAAGTTGAATGGACGTTACCAAGTCCGTGAGGAAATCTCAGAAAATATTTAAGGCCATTTTCGCTTCTCTACGTATAATTATGTAAAATATCTTTTTTGGCCAGAACCACGAACCATACGATTCCACCAGGTTAGCTCAGTAGTACTATCTGTGGTTTGCATTCGGTACTATGTGACTAAAAATTCGACTGGAAAGGAAGCGAGAATGGTATGTACTTAAAGTAGGCCACGACTGCTTACTCCACAATCCTCAGATCTTCCTACAAACAACAACATGTGCTACACACATCGAAGATGACTTTTTATTTATGTATATTTTGTTTAACGATGCTTTTTCATTAACTCAGACTACATAGCCTCGAATGAGAGGATGATAGTTAATAATGAATTGTAAACGATAGGGAATGATGCGGTCGTGGCCTAATTTAAGGTACTATTACGACGTTTGCTTGGAGGTACCTAGAGAAGTCACTAAAACCTCAATCAGGATAACCGGTCCCCGGAAATAGCCTTCATGAACGTAACCACTTATACATATATAAATGCGATTACTCGAATATCAAGTTTAGTCTGTAAGGAAACTACTATTATATTTTATTTAGTGTTCTGTCTGACGACAGGTCCATATGAACAGGATCCCTCCATCCTTTTCTCGGACTGGGACCTGTTCATATACGTTCTTGGCAGATGATCCAGAAGTGGTTTGCCATTGCCTTCTTCTGTGTGTGAATGGAGTAATTGTTGGGATGCCACGGAGGAAAACTCCGTGTTGCCTAGACCACGGCCTTGCCCAACACAAGTTATAAATTCGGGCACCGCCTGGAATCGAACCCGAGACCCCAGGATTACAAGGCCAGCGTTCTAACCGCTAGACCACCGTGGCGGTTTTAAGGAAACTACAGCGATATATTTTTAAAGTAATTCATTCTTGTGTACTTTAATTTGCCTTTATCACACCTAACTTTCCACTTACATCTACTTATGTAGCCTACTACATGTTAAGTGATGTCACAAATTTCATTTCCTCGATCATGTCTTTGACTGGGTCTTCTCGGAGGATCTCTGTTCGTGTAGCCCATTAATTTTTCACATCAACTTCAGAAACGCATCTATTCGAAGAAAATCCAAGATGACGTATCACGTGCCAAGGCACGATAACAAAATATCTTGGTAAAATAAAGGCTTGTGTTTTCCCCCCATTGGACGCAATTCTTGTTTAGTTCTGCAGATTCGCTCTACGACGACACAAAAACTAAGCAGACGCTGGAAGCAGCTAGACCTATGACTTACAACTCAGTGCAGCACTGGCTAAAGACACATACACAGTTTGATCACTCACTTGGTCGATAAGTCCACTGTACCATAATACCTTTTTCTAAGATGGTTCAAACATCCTTAGTTTCCCGTATATTGAACGGGCTCAGTAAAATGTCTATGACTAATAAATGAACTTAACGAACCAAACCTGCCACAAACTTAACACAAAATATTAAATAATTTAATTAAGATTGTGTTCGAACAGCATTTAAAAGTGTATGTCTGCGAAAAAATTGTCCCAAATCATGCTAACCTTTTGAAACACGAAGGTAATGTAAATAGTATTTAAAATTTTAGTTCCTACTGTAAAAGAGACGTTGGGTTTCTACTTCAATGATCAGATATTTGTTAATGCTGTTTAGCGAAATAATGGATTTTTTATTCTGAGAATCATATGGAACACATGAATTAGATGTGTGGTAAAAATGCAGATTTGATGAATATTAAAACCTGTGCCAAGTAACACGTAGTTAACACTGTGCTTTAAAGTGATAACCACCAATTTCCTTTGTCTGCTGTGAATCGGAAGCAACGTATTTAACCCCGAAACACATACAAAATTTACAGACCCGAAAATATGAGAGTTTATAAAAGCTTGCTTGTCTAAGTTTGGGCACTGTACATCCAGTCGGACACGGGATACGGGAAATCATGAACTGCGAGGGAGTACGACGTACCAAGTGAAGGGGAAAACTACAATATCCTGGAAAAAGAGAGGCAAAGTACTCGGATATCCGCCTCCAGACAGGCGAATACTTGAAGAAGATGGTGATAAGTTGCATCGCCCACAATTCCACCTCTCTACATACACCATTAAATAAATACTCCAGAAGTGGCCCAAGACAGTTTGATCAGTATGTCGAAAATTTACGTCACCATATTTCTTGAAGGCTAACACGCCTGTGTTAATCGCAATTTCTGGTACGTTCTTCGTTGTCTTCCCAAGTCACTTCTGATACCAGGACAATGCATAATATATAAATATTATAATCCCTAATACCAGTTGCAGTAACTGAAATGTAGATTACTACTAAAATATTGGCAGGTAAATTCTGATGATTGCACCAATTTTTAAAAAAAATAACAGTTCATTAAAATGTGAAATAAAGCATGATACATGCGAATTTGCTAAAAAAAATCTTATTAAAGTAATTTATGTCCTATCATACATTAATTACCTTATGATAGTCCAGTCTACATAAAACCGTACCGAGTTACAATTTTTAATTACACTCATTTTACACTAATTAAAGTTTGTATTTATTACATATACAGAGATACCACATAATATAAAATTAAATAAAAATATTAATATATTTAGTATTCAATATTTTAATTCAAATGAAGCTTATAAATTCATAGCAGGTGTCAATTAATTTTAGACAACAGACAAACAGGTAATCTATAATTAGTTACGGGACTCGGCTTTTCTGTTTACCGTTCATTTATTATTCATTCATTCATTAAGGGGAGTAAGTCGGTTCAAGTATCGATACTACGCAGTTCATGCACGTGGCCTTGCTGCTGGTACTCCCACCTTCATCATACGTGCAGTGGCAGTTGCATATTTTTAGTTTGTATTTCGTGGATGACGATCTGATGGGTTTGCAATGATCGATACCACGTGTCGCAGTGAGCTGTTACGTCATAATGTCCGAAGGGTGTAGGAATCTAGTCCGAGGATCAACCGCATCTATGTCAACGTCGTAACCATGGTTACACAAGCCAATCATAATTGGATATTGGGACTTCAACAGGATTCACTACTTCCTTTGCAATGTAATGAGAGGATATTCGTCCTCATAATGCAGAGGCAGAACGTATCCTGTTAAAAATAATTGATTGCGTTCGATGACTTCAAAAACGTGCTGCTCACAGTAAATATTTAAATATTTATATTATTATTGTTGTTGTTACAAAATAACAGATTGTAAAACGTATTCTTGGATATGGGGTCCGCAGTGGCCACGCGGTCTGAGGCATGGGCCTTGTGCCGCTTGGTCGCTGGGACCATGGGTTCGAATCCAACTCAAGTCATGGATGTTTGTCGGCGTTTATCTGTGTTGTGCTGTCCTGTGTACAAGTAGAGGCCTTGCGACGGGCCGATCCCTCGTCCAAGGAGTCCTACAGAATGTCTATAGATCGAGCCAACCAAAAGTTGGGACCCTCAGTGCTCAGGCACTTGAAGAACGGGTCATCCCAGTATCCAATATACTTGGATATGACTGTATACTTACTACAGTGAAGACCAACTCACAAACTGGAATAACGCTCGTCTAAAAATTCACTCTGCCATTAAAGTCTGAGTGTAACAACTTTGATTCTGAGCTGTGGTCAACCCGCCTCAGAAGTTGCGAATTAATCAGTCAGACTTGTTGAAAAAACGTACAGATTTGCAAACCAGATCTGAATTTATAGCACTGTAAGCTACACTGTGGGTGTTCCTATTTCACGACACTCTTCCCCCCTAGTTTTAAGCATCACAATGAGATCTACGGGCTCTATTTTTTTTTTTTTTAAACTTCTAACGTTTGGTCTCTTCTGTCTACATTTGGAAAGATTTCTTCTTACCTTGGAACGAATTGGAAATTTAAATGAGGCCTTGATGAAGGCAGATGAAAGGAGACCTATGTGTGTTGTATTAGAGTGGGGTTTCTTCGTTGGTTTTGTGTCCCCAAAATCTTTCTCCACTGCTGCCTTCTTTCTGAGTCTGCGATCAAACCTATGCAACATGGTCTACTGGCAACGAGTCAAATATAAATGAAGAAGATTAGAAAGGCAAAAAAGTAGGTAAAGCGGGAATTCTTGTAAGAAAAACTGGATTCGTATTATGCAAAAATACAGATGAAATGTTTGCATGCATAAGAGAGCGCTTTTGTTAGTCGATTCAGTGCTCACAGAGCTCTTGATGTTTTTAACAGTCTTAAGGGCAGTGTTAATATCAAAATATCCGCTGGATTTCATTAACTTCATTTGTGCAGCAGAGGAGACCCTCTGTAGCTCAGTACCACTGTTTAATTTCGTCCGTTAATGACGTTAATTACTTCGAATATACATGCTGATTAAGAGTGATTAACATAACATTTCTTGGACTATTTATATCCAGGGGCATAAGAGAATAAAATTTTCCAACTGATGAAGAAAATAAATCCAATTTCAGGAACATATTGTCTTTAAAAAAAACTAGGGAATTAGTCAAAGTCCAAAAGGTAGTTCGTGGGATTGAAACTGTGCACGGGGTATTGAACT